GCTCTGTCAACTCTGATTCTGAGGGTCACAAACTCCCCGTCCATATCACTATCGCCTATCACTATCGTGACATTGCTATTTTCAATGTACTGTATATGCCCCAACTCCCCAGGGCAGACCTTCTACCAAGACCTGATATCATGGGACCTACCAATCCCATAATCCTGCCATATACTGGGCGGGGATTTTAACTCAGTCATGCACCACTATGCCGATCATACCAGGGATTGTCTAACGCGACACATTCGACAACCGCCTCAGCCTCCCGCTCTTACTGCTTTAGCACAGTCCATTAATACACTCAATCTTCATGACACATGGCACCTTCACCATCCGACGGACCAGGAATACAGGTTCTATTCACACCCACATGACTCATTCTCTCGCATTGACTATTGCTTCTGCTCGCATTCTCTCCTCCCTATTACGCAAATTAACAATATTTAATATGGCCATCTCTGTCCAATTCTGATGCAGCTATCCGAGTTGAAAGCTCCAAGGACTACTAGCTCCTGGCGCTTCCCCACCTACTTAGCTAATAACAAGGACTTCAAATCTCATCTCTACGTAGCCTGGGCGAAATTCGCAGACACGAATGGAGCCCGCTTAACCAAACCCAATCTATTCTGGGAACCTGGGAAAGCGTTTCTCAGAGGACGCATAATTTCTAATACCACACAATTTAAGAAATGATCCCATTTTCAATACCAACAGGCTAGTGAATCTCTTTGTCAAGCACATATCAAGCTCTCCGTCAATCACACTTCAGCGAACAAGCTGACCTGGCAATCTGCTAAACGAGCCTTTGATTATTGGGCTGAACACCTTAAGGCAGCCAAATCAGCCTAGTCCACTCTGAAATTCCATAGATATGGCAGCAAAGCAGGTAAACTGCTAGCACAGCTCTGTGCTGGCCCCCGTGCTCCTACTTATATTTCCACCCTCCAGTCTACCACGGGAAATATTCTTAAGATGTCCTCTGATCTTAACGCGCTGTACTACACTGTAATCAGAGGACCTGATTGATTCTAAGGCCGCTGAGGACTTATGAGCCACTGTACACCTTCCTAAGCTTACCCAATCCAAGCTAGATGCTCTCAATGCTCCCATCACGTTAGACGATATCCGTGCCACTATCCAAAATTTACCCCCTGCTAAGGCTCCTTGTCCTGACGGCCTTAGTGCTGAGTTCTATAAACTAACCACGGAATTCATCCCAGACACCGTGCATCATGTCTACAAGGCAATGTGGGAGGGCTGGCTCTCAAGTACATATCAAACTCATAGCTAAAAAGGGGAAAGACCCACTGTTGCCAGGATCTTACTGACCTATTTCTCTGATGACTGTCGACACCAAAATACTACTGAAAATTACAGTGGCCAAGCTGGCCTTGCTACTCCCTACCATGCTACATCCGGCCCAATCTGGTTTTGTACCGGGACGATCAGCGACGCTTAATATCCACAAAGTACTGTTGCCCCTAGAATATGCTAAAACCCACTCAATGCATGATCTGACACTCATATCCTTGGATGCCGAAAAAGCCTTTAACAACATTAGCTTCACCTGGCTCTTCATGGTCATGCAGCAGTTTGGTATTCTGGTCCCATTTTAGACTTTTTATGACAAATGTACTCTTCACCATGGCTAGACAGGTCACACCTGACTTCATGTCCACTGACATTCCCCTAACTAAGGGTACGAGGCAGGGCTGCCCACTTTCCCCCCTTATTTTTAACATTGCTTTACAAGACTACTTAAGTCCACCGCAGGGGTAAGTGGTGTCACGATTGGCGAACACACTTTTCGTTCAACTCTATTTGCGGACAATATATTGTTGTTTTCCTCAGATCCACCCTCAGATTTTAAACTACTCCAGAACTTATTTGCGACCTTCCAAAGCTGCTCGGGCTTACGAATCAATTTTGACAAGAGTGAAGTACTCCCTTTGAACCCTACTACTTCGACTCACTGGCTCACGTCTTCACCTTTTTTGTATAGCTAAACACTCAATTACCTATTTAGGCATACACATAGGCAGAGAGCCATTGTCTCTCTATTACCTTAATTACCCTCCTCTATTCAATAAGATTGTGCAGGAACTGGAAGCTTAGTTGACCCCCCCTCTCACTCTTTGGGAGATGCCATCTCTTCAAAATGATCTCATTTCCAAGATTGCTGTACCCTCTACAAACGCTTCCTGTTTTGTTAAAGCATTCTGATTTACAGAAGATTCACACGGCCCTACAAGCCTTTCTATGGCAACGCAAAAAAAAAAACAGAAGATAAGTCACCCCAGGAGTGAGGGTGGTGTGAGGCCTGCCGAATATTAGATTCTACAATTTGTCCTGCCTCCTTTGCCAGGGTCTCAATTGGATTACCATGAAATCACGTTACTCTAACTATTCTTTGGAGGAAGCACTAGTGTCCCCGCTAAATCTCTCTGCCATTCTGTACTGCAACCTTAAATCTCTACCTGTGTCTCTCTGATCGAATCTTTTGATCAGAGACACCGTATTGGCTTGGAGGGAAATGCGGAAGCTTCTTGGCTTACCATTAAGGATATCCTGTTACTTGCCTATACTTGGAAACCCTATGTTCCCTCCTGCTAGTGAACATGCAGCATTTTCCCATTGGTCACGTAATGAACTTATTAATGTCATATCAGTCTTTGATGATACCCAATGATCCTTTAAACCCTTCTCAGTTTTAGCTGCCCAATACGCTCTGCCAGGATCCCATATCTTTCACCATCATCAGCTGGTGACCTATCTCCGGTCTTGCTATTCCCTTAAACGTGATCCCTTCCAATGCTCCTTCGTAGAGATATTGCTTCGACAAGACCCACTACTCCATCTCAGACATCTACCCTCATCTGGTCTCTCACCAATCCACAAAATACCACCTTACTTCATTTAAACCTTATACCCCCATACTTTGTACGGACAGTATGAAATACTATTATCAGGATATAGGAAAATAGCTTTGCTAGTACTCCGTGAAACATGGTGCAAAACTCAATTCAAAATCATCTACCAGGCCTATTATTCTTTCTCCATGAACTCAGCAGTTGCTGCCCACCCAACATGCCCTTGGTGTGATCACAACCGACCGACCTTGTTTTATCGCTTGTAGGAATGTGCTCGAGTTTCAGCTTTCTGAGACCAAATCCTTCATTACATCAATCAACTATACAACATACTCTGTCTCCAAAGAGCCCATGATCTGTCTCTTTAGCTATGAAGAGACTACAACATCGGCATACCCTACCGCTTTCCCCCAGTAAATATATATTTGCCTACTGGTGGCTTGCAGAGCCCTCATGCAAGCCTGGATTCATCCAAATCCCCCAACTCTTAACACGGTGACACAGGTGTTAACTAACCTTTTCAACCTGGAAAAGCTTGACGCCATAACCCAAAATTAAGACCTCTCGTTTCATCTCAAGATGGAGATGCTACATGGAGCATTCCTTCTCACCTGCCGAATTAGCCGCTCACATGGAACCCTTCCGCTATACAGATTGGTATCTCAAAGCTCAACTAACCAACACACTGGGTAAACTCCAAGTGACCAACCACTCTCTAGCTCCACCCCCCCACTTATCCTCCTCCCCAACTCTCTGTTGATTACATAATCCACACTTTTGTTTACCTAGCCCACATGGTAATCCTTTTACAGTGTTCTATCAGAGAAGTACTTCTGTTCAGGCTACTGTATCCAAGCTTCCATTCCTATGGAATTGATTTACTTTAAAGTTTGGCCTTTAATGCCATATTATACCTCACATGTCTATTTCTAACACTTTTTCTTCTACATTGTAATTATTGTACTCCTTGTCTTACAAATACTTTTGGCTTTTAGGTTTTTATATCAAGATTGTATTGTTGTATTTACTTTGAAAAACTTCAATAAACATTTATTTAAAAAAAGAAAGGAACAATGCATCAAAATGTGTTTATCTTGGTTGAGAAACAATTCTTCAATATTCAGAAATGTACAGTATATGTAAAAGTGTTAATACATGTGTATTATATGCAACTCTATAAACGTATTTTACCTACAGTTACAGATTGTGAATTCAGGTACTTTGCCAACACTGGGTTTATCAATCTTTTTGCAAAGTAAGGCAATATTAAACAGCCTAAACAAATGCTAAATGAAGGCAAAACTCTTTTTATCATTTGGTTATAGTAAGGGAGGGTTATATTCCCATCAGGATTTTTTTTTTTACATCTGTGTCCCATTGGAAAGATGTACCATAGCCAAAACATTGAAAGCAAGAAAAATCTCTGGTAATCACCAGGATCACCAGAACTGGTGTCCCCATTGGAAGATTTCTCCCCAATTCTCTTCTGGTTACCACTCAAAGTATTGGAATTTTTCACTTTTAGTGAGAACAGTCACTAGGACAAATTAAATGAATCCTCCTAACAGGGACACAGACAGAATTAAAAACCTGACAGGTGTTCTAATATATCTCTCTACTCTATCCAAAATGAGAAAAAAAATTGCCATCAGGTATACTGTACTTAAACAAATACACAAACAATTGCTGCAGATACTTTGCTAAATGAGAGAAAGCTTACTCTACAACAGATGTGCATCTAATTCTGTAGCCAATTTGCTTGATAAATGTTACTATATACTATATACCATTTACATGCACTTCTACAGCACTAGTCGCACTGTACATACAGTTTATTAAATTATATCAGGAATATAGCAACAGTAAAACAAGTGTTCATGACTAGGGCAACACTGAAATTGACTAGTGGAAAGCTGCAAAAAAAATACCTTAGTGACTTTTGTTTAGCCTTCACTGTGAAAGTTAATCTACACTGCCAGACCACATTTCTCAGTGTTCACTTTGCTAAGATCAACAGAGATGAAGGTTCAGAAAGTGTGTTTTGCTACCTTGCGTATAAGCATATAATAAAACACATAAGTACTTCATAAATATATACATATGTAAAATATGCACATAAAAGTTATATACCTATGGGAATGGAAGATATCTGGGAATACAAATCCAGCATTCGATTGCCATCAACATCAACAAGATAATTTCCACGGCTCTCTTCATAATTGCAGAAAAAATTCACAGCATCTGCATTCTGAGATTTAAGAATAAAAGAAACAGCTTGAACAAGTATAACTCACTAAAAACTAAAGAGAAGTGCAATGTAAAACAAACATTCATTGAGAAGCCATAAATCTTGTCCTTGGGGAATTTTCACACAGGGATATACAAAAAATATTACAAAACTAAAAAAAAAAAAAAAAAAAAAAATGATGGCAAGGGCAACATAAAAAGTACAGCACATACAGTTGCAAGAAAAAGTATATGAACCCCTTGGAATTACGTGGAGTTTTGCATGAATTGGGCATAAATGTGCTCTGAACGTCATCTAAGTCACAACAATAGAAGAACACAGTCTGCTGAAACATAATACTACACAAACATTAGATGTTGCCATGGTTTAATTGCACATAATATGTAAACATTCACAGTGCACGGAGGAAAAAGTATGTGAACCTTTGGACTTAATAACTGGTTGACCCTTCTTTGGCAGCAATAACCTCAACCAAACGTTTCCTGTAGTTGCAGATCAGACCTGCACAACGATCTGGAGTAATTTTGGACCACTCCTCTTCACAAAACTGTTTCAGTGTAGCAATATTCTTGGGATGTCTGGTGTGAATCGCTCTCTTAAGGTCATGCCACAGCATTTCAATCGGGTTGAAGTCAGGACTCTGACTGGGCCACTCCAGAAGGCGTATTCTGTGCTGTTGCAGCCATTGTTTTGTTGAATTACTTGTATGCTTTGGGTCATTGTCCTGTTGCATCACCCATCCTCTGCGGAGCTTCAGTTGGCGGACAGATGGTCATACGTTTTCCTGCAAAATGTCTTGATAAACTCTGGAATTCATTTTCCCATCAATGACAACAATCCGTCCAGGCCCTGAGGCAGCAAAGCAGCCCCAAACCATGATGCTCCCTCCGCCATGTTTTACAGTGGGGATGAGGTTTTGATGTTGGTGTGCTGTGCCTTTTTTTTCTCCACACATAGTGTTGTGTGTTCTTCCCAAACAACTCAATCTTGGTTTCATCTGTCCACAGTATATTTTGCCAGTAGTGCTGTGGAACATCCAGGTGCTCTTTTGCAAACTTCAAACGTGCTGCAATATTCTTTTTGGACAGCAATGGCTTCCTCCATGGTGTCCTCCCATGTACTCCATTCTTGTTTAATGTTTTCCTTATTGTAGATGTGTCAACAAAAATGTTAGCAAGTGCCAGAGATTTCTGTAGGTCTTTAGCTGACACTCTGGGATTCTTCTTTACCTCATGCAGCATTCTGCGCTGTGCTCTTGCAGTAATTTTTACAGGACGACCACGCCTAGGGAGAGTAGCAACAGTGCTAAACTTTCTCCATTTGTAGACAGTCTGTCTTACCGTGGACACATGAACATCAAGGCTTTTGGAGATACTTTTGTAACCCTTTCCAGCTTCATGCAAGTCAACAATTCTTGATCGTAGGTCTTCTGAGAGCTCTTTTCTGCGAGGCATGGTTCACATCAGACAGTGCTTCTTGAAACCAGTAAACCCAAAACAGGTGTGTGTTTTTTTAAGGGCAGGACAGCTGTCAGCAACACATCCAATATCATCACACAGATTGGAGTCAAGGTTGGCTCACTCCTGGCTCCGATTAGCTCTGGGAGAAGTCATTAAGCTAGGGCCTCACATACTTTTTCCTCCCTGCACTGTGAATGTTTACATGTTATGTGCAATTAAACCATGGCAACATCTAATGTTTGTGTAGTATTATGTTCAGCAGACTGTGTTCTTCTATTGTTGTGACTTAGATGACGTTCAGAGCACATTTTATGCCCAATTTATGCAAAACTCCACCTAATCCCAAGGGGTTCACATACTTTTTCTTGCAACTGTATTTCAAAAATTCAATTGATGTGACAAGTCCTGTGTAATATTTGAAAAAGCAGGTGGAAATACTTTTCATCCATTTTATCTATATTTGTAGCATGCCTCTTACCTGTATGTTGTTAAGCTGTTTAATTAATTCCTAAAAAAAAACAAAATCAAATTCATATTACAAAGTATTTATGATAGAAATGACCACAACTAGAATGCATACAACAGAAATTCTGGAAGCTTACGAATTAAACAAAATAACAATTAAACTTATAGAACTAGGGTCATCGTTTCGAATCCCAACCACCGTACTAACTGCCTGGGGTTTGCATGTTCTCCTTGCCTGATTCAATTTCCTCCCACACTCCAAATATATGCTGGTAGGTTAATTGGCTCTGGTCTAAATTGGCCCTAGTATGTGCAAGTATGAATGTGAGTTGGAGACCTTTGTTTGCAAGTTCCATGAGGAAAGGGACCGATGTGAATGTACAATATACAGATGTGCTCAAAAGTTTGCATACCCTGGCAGAAATTGTCACATTTTGGCATTGATATTGAAAATACGACTGATCCTGCCAAAAAAACTGTCTTTTATTTAAGGATAGTGATCATAAGAAGCCATTTATCACATATTTGTTTGGCTCCTGTTTAATAATGACAGAAATCGCCCAAATTGCCCTAATCAGGTTTACATATACTGAAATGTTTGGCCTTGGTACAGACACACAAGTTGACCTACACAGGTTAAAATGGTAATTAAGTGTTAAATTTTCCATATCTGTGGTTTTTGAAATTGCAATTAGTGTCTTTGTATAAATAGTCAATGACTTTGTTAGCAAGTTCTCCCACTTAAAAGATGAGAGAGGCCTGTAATTGGCATCATAGGAAGACCTCAACTATGAGAGACAAAATGAAAAAAAAATCCAGACAATCACATTGGCTGATTTGGAAAGAATTTATTTGCAAATTATGGTGGAAAATAAGTATTTGGTCACCTACAAACAAGCACGATTTCTGGCTCTCACAGACCTGTACCTTCTTCTTTAAGAGGCTCCTCTGTCCTGCACTCGTTACCTGTATCAATGGCACCTGTTTGAACTTGTTATCAGTATAAAAGACACCTGTCCACAACCTCAAACAGTCACACTCCAAACTCCACTATGGTGAAGACCAAAGAGCTGTCGAAGGATACCAGAAACAAAATTGTAGACCTGCACCAGGCTGGGAAGACTGAATCTGCAATAGGCAAGCAGCTTGGTGTGAACAAATCAACCGTGGGAGCAATAATTAGAAAATGGAAGACATACAAAACCACTGATAATCTCCCTCGATCTGGGACTCCACGCAAGATCTCACCCCATGGGGTCAAAATGATCACAAGAACAGTGAGCAAAAATCCCAGGACCACACGGGGGGACCTAGTGAATGACCTGAAGAGAGCTGGGACCAACGTAACAAAGGCTACCATCAGTAACACACTACGCCGCCAGGGACTCAGATCCTGCAGTGCCAGACGTGTCCCCCTGCTAAAGCCAGTACATGTCCGGGCCCGTCTGAAGTTTGCTAGAGAGCATTTGGATGATCCAGAAAAGGATTGGGAGAATGTCATATGGTCAGATGAAACCAAAATAGAACTGTTTGGTAGAAACACAATTTGTGGTGTTTGGAGGAGAGAGAATGTCGAGTTGCATCCAAAGAACACCATACCTACTGTGAAGCATGGGGGTGGCAACATCATGCTTTGGGGCTGTTTCTCCGCAAAGGGACCAGGACGACTGATCCATGTACAGGACAGAATGAATGGGGCCATGTATTGTGAGATTTTAAGTGCAAACCTCCTTCCATCAGCAAGGGCATTGAAGATGAAACGTGGATGGGTCTTCCAACATGACAATGATCCCAAAACATACCGCCCGGGCAACGAAGGAGTGGCTTCGTAAGAAGCATTTCAAGGTCCTGGAGTGGCCTAGCCAGTCTCCAGATCTCAACCCCATAGAACACCTTTGGAGGGAGTTGAAAGTCCGTGTTGCCCAGCGACAGCCCCAAAACATCACTGCTCTAGAGGAGATCTGCATGGAGGAATGGGCCAACATACCAGCAACAGTGTGTGCCAACCTTGTGAAGACTTACAGGAAACGGTTGACCTCTGTCATTGCCAACAATATATAACAAAGTAATGAGATAAACTTTTGATATTGACCAAATACTTATTTTCCACCATAATTTGCAAATAAATTCTTTCCAAATCAGCCAATGTGATTGTCTGGATTTTTTTTCTCATTTTGTCTCTCATAGTTGAGGTCTACCGATGATGCCAATTACAGGCCTCTCTCATCTTTTTAAGTGGGAGAATTTGCACAATTGGTGGCTGACTAAATACTTTTTTGCCCCACTGTATGTTAATGGTAAGTCCAAACTTACAAATTGTTTTTCAGAAATGTTTTTAGAAATCAGTTATAGGGCTGGGATTGACTGCTGATGTAGGAAACACTGCAGACCGTCAGCGGATAGTGAGTGCTGCAGGGCAGGAGAATTAAAAGAAAAAAGTTAAAAGAAAAAAAAAATTAAAGTTCAGGTGCATTTATCTAATTATATCGTTAGTTAAATACTGCTCTCTGCATCTGGGATTCATTCAGACGAGAGTGTTACAGTAATGTGCAGTAAAACAAGAAACATGGCACTAAGTATGTTGAGCCCAATCCATGTTCTCTGCGATGTACGATGCGCCTGCCCCTTACAGCACAATAATACACAGTGCAATGTGGTGCACTGAGTTGGTAAACATGAAAAAGAAGACTGATGTCTGAAAATAGTAAGCATAAAATGATTGATATGCAATATTTCATATTTTAGCCAGCCAATATTTTTTTCTTATTTTCTAATGACTATAAAAAAGCTTTATAATAATGACTATATAGTTCCTTAACAAGTTTTACAATTGTTCACTCACTCTTGATCGTGGTCCTGGGACTTCTGTCTTCATTAGTGGACCATCATATTCAAAATCAACATTCTTTTTGGCAGCAGCTTGACTGATGTATCGGCAACCTAAAAAAGAGATATGTCACTAAAATCTTATGCATGAATGAAATTCTAAACTTTATATCAAAAGTGGATGATGCAAAATGACAAACCATTTGACAAGTTTTAATACAAAGACAAATTGTTACAAAAGTTAAAAAAAAAATACAAACCTTAAAGTTTGTGCAAATTGTATTTTTTTCACAACAATCTTAGGGTATTACTATCAAGCAACTGAACCCCTGAGGAGAAAACACAACCAAGAACAATCCTTGTCTAGTCACTATTTTTTTGCTGCTTGATTCTAAGGAATTAATTCCAATTTAAAAATATAAACTCTTTCACATGTGCTTGTTTTGTCAGTTCCAGTGTGATCCCCAGCATGGTGCCTTACATGAATCTAAAATCTTCCAAAAAATCTTTGCCTTGTTAAACATTGCACAGACATAGTCCACTGTTGTCACTATTAGAAAGTAGGTCCAAGTTCAAAGATGAGCAGCCATTGATGTAGTAAGTGCATTTAGTCAAGATGTTGCTGAAAAATGTAGTGGGGAAAAAAAAAGGGGAAAACCGTATTTTGAGGAAAAACATATCAGTATCAAACCAAAATCCTGGAGCCTTCTACAATGGTCCAGTTGGTAATGGTCAAGTGGTATTAAACCCACGTTTTTGAAAACTGCGAACAGGTAGGGCTTTTATGACAGAGGAGATCCTATTGGTTTCTTCTGTCATAAATCCTTCCCCTACTTGTCAGCTGTTATGTACACTCAACATGCATTAATGGTACCCAGTATGTGCCAGAATGATGTGATTACCCAGCAAATACATGGGAGTGAAGTCATCACGGCCTGGTCATTCAAGCAGGCAAAAAAAACAGAACTCAGAAAGAAGAACAGGCACAGATGGAAATGCCTTGGGCCCAAGGTGACACCACAGTGGTAGGGGGCACATTATTATTATTATAGCAATAATTGTAGCAATTTGCTGCCCAGGTGTCACAGGCGCAGCATACAGCCCACTGCCAGCAAATTAATGAAAAGCTGAAACATATAGGCGTGGTACGCAGATATGCTCACATTCAAGCAGTACTTGCACACAGGGATGTATGCGCTGACCTATCAGATAACAGGATTTTTTTCTCTCACCATAAAATCCCATTCTCTGGGTTCATTGAAGGACATAGACCAGTAATATTCTTGACCGTAGGGCTACAGAACCACTTTCATGAGTCTATGGGCCGTCCTCACTGGAGGCAAACCCTCCCACCTATTAGGAATCTCAGTTAGGTACAAAGCAATACACAAAAGGACATGAGAGGGGACGGAGCTGTGTCCTTAAATGAACTCAGAAAAAAACAATATTATGCTGAATTAAAAAAAAATGAAAAATCCCATTTTCTCTTACTTTCAGTGAAGGACACAGCCTGGCAATATTGACCATAGGCACATCCCAAAGCGGTGACCAATGAGGAATGGGAAGACAGAACAAAACAGAAACCAACAGAAAAAAAAACCTAGGAGAAAGCCTAACACCACAACCGTGGATAGCAAACCAAGCGTCCAAAAACACCAAACCGAAGATGTCAACTTCAACTGTGTGAAACCCTAAAGAGCTAAGGCCTGAACAACAGGAGTTCAAGTCAACCCGAAACAGAAGCCGAAGAAGGCACCAACCTAACGCAGACCATCGCAGAAGTGATAGAAAGTGAAGGTGACTGTTTAACAAAATCAACAGAGGAAGGACCCCCAATGGCCACAAAAGGAGGCCCCTTGAGAGCTGACAGAAGTAAGTTCAAGCCCCACAGAGGCATGGAGAATGCACCAAAAGTATGTGGCAAACCCCTGAATGAAGGTACAAAACAAGAAATGCACAGAAAGAGGGTGCTAAGAGACAATTGCAAAGGACAGAAACCCCTGCCTGTAATGGCACTCAGGGCAAGAAGCAGATCGATGGCCCACAGGAAAAAGCTAAAAACCAAGGCACCAAGACAAAGCATAGGGGAATCTTGATATTAGTACTATGCAATCCAGATACAATGGCAGATCCTCCTTGATGTGGATTCTCAACACAAATAGGGTGTGGTGCTTTGCATTAATATGATAACCAAATTGTGTATGAATATAAAAAAATAAACAAAGATCGTAATGGCCCAAGTGCATATAAAAATAAATAAAAAGCCTTGAGACAGAGCCGAGTGACGTCATTTCTGGTCGCAGTCGATACCGGAAGAGTTTGGAAGGCAGCCTGTATAGTTTATGAAGTATCTTACCAAGTAAGTGAATTTCTTTCCTAATAAACCAGACATTTTACATACTACACCAGGCCTCAAAATTCCCACTCATCTGCTCACATTTAGCAAGTGGATATAACATGGGGGCAAGTGTGTCCACATCGGAGGGGGGACACGTGCCGCCGACAGCAGCAAGAAAGAATACAGGGTGGAGGGTTGGGTGGGAGCAGATATCTCCTCCCAGCCTCGGCCCCCTGTCATTCTCCTAGAGCAGAGAGCAGGAGGCAGTGGCAAGGTGGGAAGGGGGTTTGGGCGGGAGCCTTTCCTATTAAGCTGGTGATTGGTTGCTCAGACCGCCTAGCAACCAATCACCTGCTGGTTAACTTGAAAAGTTAACTCTGGCAGCTCCCACTCCAGCCCCCTGTCCAAGGCTGTGCTTCTTCCATACAACTCTGGAGAGAGTGCACAGGACAAGCTTCTCCGACTAGAACCAGAGAAAAACTGCGCCTCACTCACTGCCGGAGCTCCTGACACCAACTGCGCCGCACACACTGCCATGCGACTCCGCCCCCTCCTTGGGCATGTACAGATGTGCCGAGCACCCTGCTATGTGACTCCACCCCTCTCTCTGGGCTGAAGGTGCGTATCAGCTCTTCTCCTCAATTTGAAGTCTCCTGTAGGCGGCTGACGAGGAGTATCTCTGGTTGCCTGGGGCTGCTACTAATCATCAACTGTACTCCCAGAAAGGCCTTCCAAGCCCTGCCCCCTTCTATTATTGTGCTACATTTTCCTCTAGTGCTCCTTCACTACATTCTGAGCAGCAGTTGGTTGCTAAGAATGCCCTGCAACACGCTTCTTTTCTCACCTCCCGCCCTCTGCCTGACTGATGGCCACTGATCTATGAGGGACTCTGATAGGGACCCTGATGTAAGGGGGGACTCTAATGGGGACACCTGATATTAAGGGGGTTACTCTGATGGGGACACCTGCTATTAATGGGGGGGGAACTCGGGGGACCATGATGTGAAGGGAGGATGTACTGATATTAAGGGAGGATTCTGATCTGATATTAAGGGTGGGGGGATTGGGTTACTGATGGGTACATGCCTGTATAGAGCAGAGAACGGGAGGCAGCAGAACACTGGACGAGGCGGGGGTGGGAGCTGCCAAAGTTGACTTTTCCTGACTTTTTGCTTGAACAGCCTACCAACCAATCACTTGCTGGTTAACTTCAAAAGTTAACTCTGGCAGCTCCCGCCGCCCTGTCCAGAGCTGTGCTTCCTCCCGCCTACTGTCCAGAACTGTGTGCATGTCTCTGCATCTTTTAACTGTTTGCATTCTGTGTCCTGGGGTGTGTGAAGGGGGGTAGAGGATATAGCTGTAGGGGGGTGTGAAGGGGGGTAGAGAACATGGCTGTGGTGGGGGGGGCTCTTGTGAAGTGGGGGTAAAGAACATGGCTGTGGAGGGTGGGGGGGATGTGAATGGCGGTAGAGGACATGGCTGTGGGTCTGTGTGTGTGTGTGTGTGTGAAGGAGGTAGAGGACATGGCTGTGGGGGGAGGGGTGTGTGAAGGGGGGTACAGGAGATGTCTGTGGGGGGTGTGTGAAGGGGTTAGAGGACATGGCTGTGGGGGGGAGGGGGTATGAAGGGGGGTATAGATTTATTTTTGTAACTTTATTCTGCATTAAACATTTAACAGTGTCAGTTTTGGAGATAATTTACAAGGGTGTGTTTAGGTGTTTAGAGTTGATAATTGTTTTGAAGAAATACGTTTACTATACTGACAGCACTGAGATTTTGTTCACAATTTATCATTTCTTGTTCGCATTTATTTTTTATATATGCACTTGGGCCATTACAATCTTTATTGCTTATTTTTTCATATTTATATTCATACACACTTTGCTTATAACATTAATGCAAAGGTTTGCGCCAGACCATATTTGTATATTAATATAAGGTGGTAGGGGATCCAGATAAGTGAAAGGCAGCAGCTTGGTTCTAATAACGGGTCAGGTGGCAGTTCATAGGTCATTATTTATGAATTCTCAACAAAGTAGGAACAAGAGAAGCAGACAACTCCTCGTCTTTCAGAAACATGCTCTCAAGTGCTAGGCCAACAAGCTAGAGACAGAAAGCAGGGTGGAGATCAGCCCTTGGAACAGAAGACCCTCTCAAAAAAAGATACCAGGGACCGTCTGCGACCTGGCGCTTCACTCCTGCGTACATAGGTTGAGAAGACGCAACCCAGAGCTGTGAATATGACCGGAATCCCACCGACCACCATACTGATTAGTAACTAGGAAAAAGCTTTAAGGGGAGGTCAGCAGAAAAGACTCCGAAATGGACCCGCAGCCTCACCAGGGCAATTGTCATATCCAACCAGGACTCGTCCTGTCCTTGAATACCCCCTGCTGAGACGAGGGACCAGGGGATCCACCTCCAGGGGTCTAACCGCAGGCATATTTGACGGAAGGACCCTGGATGTAAGTATCACTCTCCTTGGTCCAAAAGTTGATGGAGGAGGCAATTCATCTAGTAATATGTCAACATCCGGAATGAAAACCACTGAGAGAGCAAGAAAGTGAAGCACTTCCCCACCAACAGAAGTAATAGACTTCCAGCACCACTGCCGAACTCCTTGCTCCATCCCATTTAAGACACAGGCCATTGCTGCAATGATGGCTGGCTGAATCCCAACAGGGCATCCCCAAAGATGCTCCATCTGACAAGACAGAAAACACCTTATCGCCCATACCTCCAGGACATTGATAGTCAACCAAGATTCCTGCCTGTCCAGAAGTCCTGAGCCG